TAGTAAATAGATAGATGGAGATAGAGCGAGGGGAGAGAGAAAGACAGAGAAAGGGTAACTAAGTTTGTAAAGAAATGTGGAAGATTGACATAAACGGATATGATGAGGGAGACATAGTGAGAGAAAATCGGAATAACTACAAACGAAGGGNAGATAAATAGGTATAGAGATAGATAGATAGGTAGATAGAGAGGTAGATAGACAGAAAGGTAGATAAATAGATAGAGAGATAGAGAGATAAGTAGATAGATAAATAGGTATAGAGATAGATAGATAGATAGATAGATAGGTAGATAGACAGAAATATAGATAAATAGATAGAGAGATAGAGAGATAAGTAGATAGATAGAAAAATGGATAGAGATAGATAGGTAGATAGATACATAGATAAATAGATAGATAGAGAGAGAGATGGGGGGGGAGAGAGAGAGAGAGAGAGAGAGAGATCGAATGTTAGATAGAGAGAGAGAGCGAGTGAGAGAAGGGAGGGCGAAAGTTAGATAGAGATAGATAGATAGGTAGGTAGATAGATAGTTAAATAGGTATGGAGATAGATAGATAGATATGTAGGTGGATAGAGAGAGAGAGAGATTGCCGAAGAAGAAGGAGGGTGGTATTGAAAAAAGTGAAAGGGAACGAGAGTAACGTGCGAATAAGTCAAAAAGAGTAAGGGAGAACAAGAGTTAGAGAGAAAATGACCGAATAAAAGAGACAGAGTAAAGGAGAGAGAAAGAGAGATAGGAAGTGAGCGAGGAGTAGATTGATTGATTAACAGTTTTATTTAACCACGCACAGTTAGGTGACGTGGACCTTTCTTCCACTTAACGTAAGTTATGTTGTACATACTTATATTTATAAGGCTCTTTTGGCCCTCACAATTTATTTTACAGAATAGAATACAAGAAAAAAAGTTTTACATATTTACTTGAGAAAGATAGAAATAGATTGACAGAAAGAGAGAGAGAGAGTGGGTGTTTGAGCGAGAAGGCAGAGAGTGACGAGGAGAGTGGGAGGTAGTGTGAGAAAGTGAGCAAAAGTAAAAGGCGAGAGATATAAAGATAGAAGATAGATATAAAGATAGAATGAAGCCAAACCAGACAAAAAGGATGAGTGTGTAGTGCGGATGAATGTGAGAGAGAGGAAAGCGAAAATAGAAAGAAAAAAAGCAAGCGTTAAAGAGTTAAAAAGTAAGAGTGAACGAGAGTATGATAAATTCTGAATGAAACCGAGTGAGAGCGTGAACGAGTGAATGAGCATGTGAATAGAGAGAAATGGTGTGTGCTAACGGTTGTAACTGTAGTGTCTAAACAAGAGTGTCAGATAGAGGTAGAAGGGGATGGTGATTGATTATGTGAGAAATTGATAGAGTGGTTTACTTTAATAAGTTATACACTCCTTATTCACCCCGCTATACTAGTTTGTCAGGTTGGCTCTGAAAATCTTTTTCTCCAATGGTTATTTTTACTTTTAATTGAGCATGTATATGAATTGTTGTTGATTTTGTCCGTTCAAGTAAGTTTTCGAGTAGGCCGTTGACTTTACAGTTGCCTCAATTGTTGAACTTACTCCGTCGTGAGTTACGTCATTGTACCTAAATAATTTATTAACTTCTTTGTCCGTTGAAATTTTAAATATTTTCTCTGTTGACATATACTGTGTGTTAAAAATCTATGAGCACGATTGTTTGGAGTATTCGATTATCAAACTGGGTAGTTTTATTTTAATTTACTTTGCCCTTCTTCTGTATAACTTCGAGAATATGCAAAATTTGTTTTAGTGTGTTCAATCATGTTTCTAGGATAATCGTCCGTAGAGAGGGTAATTTTTTAATGAATCCTTCATGCCTTTCTACCCGGTTTTATATTCAAATTAGCATAGAACAAAACAACTGCGTAAAAAAACTCTACAAGATTTCAAATTTTTGATTTGTTTGTTAAATTATTGTACTGAAATTTTTTTTTTGTTTCTGTCTCTAACTTTAAAGTGAGGTCGCCGAGAGTCGACATCCGTTCCATATCGATTAATTCTGGCCCGCCTATTCTCGCTGGTTATCTTTTGATCCTACAATCGGCTTAGTCTTCTTTCGACCTTACATAATTAAACATGAGGAAACGTAAAGTTTCAGTGAAGTAATTTGTAAGTAGTTTCGTTGTGACGTATGATCGAAATGGATCATCACTGGTCCGTCTATTCTCGCCGTTTATCTTTGGATTTTCTACTAGGTCAGGCGTTGTGTTCTTTTCTAGCACTCAACGGACTGCCACTTTAATTTTGAACGACTTATATGAACAATATTTTTTTCTAAAACTTGACTTATCATTGTTTAGATAAGTCTGCGGTAATTACGCCATTACTAATCTGGCTGCAGGAGCACAACAGTGCTCGCAAAAATCCAAAAACCCAATGACGTTTCTGATGTAGACCTTGCTTACCACAACTCATTGAGGAGAGTCTGTCGCAAAGTTCAGAAACTGATTCAGTAAGACCTGAAGTTTGGCGAAGTTCCTGCTTATTATGTCCTAGAGGCAGGCATATTTCTTTCGTTATATGCTAGAATAGCTTCTCCGTTGTAACAGGTTAACATTGATTAATGTAAGGTACATGATAGGCTTATTAGTACACTTTTGTACGTATAAACAAAATCCGTTAAAACGTAATCAGTAGCTAAGGCGGTAAAGGTGACCTGTGGTTACTAACTTATTCTATGCCTCAGCTTCAAAATGGTCTCGCCGTCTACCATGTATGCAGTGGGCGTGCAGGAGCTTGTATATAAGCAAGGGTTCAAGCTGCTAACTTATGACTCGTCGACGAGGTCTCAGACAATAATGGAACAGCTACAGCAACATGGGTCCTTACATCTATTGCAGGCTCCCGCTACATCAACATCCGGCTCATCTATATCTATCCACGGATTCTGACCACCTGCTCCGCCCATAAGACCGGCCCATTCCTGGGCAACTAAAGACGCCCGGTCACTAAAGTGAATTTAAGTTCGTACTCGATGAAGAGGCATTTTTCTAACTAAATCCTAAGAAAAATTTGGTTTCCAATAGTGAAAAAGTTTAAAAATTCTCAAAATCCCTGCGTTGTAGAGTATATATTAAGTAAACATCCTTAAAAAGCTATTTGACGAATCAGAAGGTCGTTAAGGTCGAATTCGATCGTTTAAATAAAACATTCCTCTGGCTTGGTCGTCTCTGATCATTTTGGGTCTGACTATCCTTACTGTCTTGTTCGGTCAGATGCGACACCATAGAAAGGGGCACAACTGACGTAATAACACACAGTCCTAAACGCTGAAGATGGCGATAAGCGGAGACGTGACTGACAAGGCCCATAGACAGATCCAAAAATGACCAACCTATTGGTTCTTCATTCCGCGCACCTCATCAAAACATCTCATATTTTCCTGATCAAAAACTAGTTGTTTATGAACTGTAGGCTGATGAAACTCAACAATTGCAAGTTTGAAAATTTGTTAATTTATAAATCTTACAAGAGCACTTTCTTAATACTGCCTACATTTTTTTCACGGTCACAGCGCTGCAACCGGAGGCATATGCCGTGAGAAACCAGCCAATACAGGCACTCTTTATGTGGTATTAAGGGGCAAGGAGGTTTCGAGACTATTTTCGGATAAGGCGCCATGGTAGATACTGTGGATGGGAATGTGTCAAGAGGGCTTGACAGTAGGATTAAGATGGATTGAGAGGTTGGTGTGAAACTTTTGGAATCGGGAACAGATCAGTTTTTCGACAAAAGGAAAATTGGACCTTGTGGATAGTGAGGTTAGTGAGTATGTTTTGTCGATTTATCTGAGGAGTTTTGATGCGCTGGATGTTGGATGGTTTGGCAGAACCCCACAGTTCCACTCCGTATGTTCAAAGAGGTCTCAGTAAAGATTTACATAAGGTTAGTTTGGTGTAGATGGTTAACACGGATTTCGATCCTAGAAGTCTTCCAGTTGTTCAAATCTTCTGTTGAGTTATCGTCTCTTAAGTCTTGTGTGGATTTCACGTCAGTTTGCTGCGTAGGTATGTGCCTCTGTATGTGCTAAGTTTACTTGAATGGTAATATGTCTTTACTGTTCGATGTACATGGAGAGCAAGACTATTTTTTCAATGTGAACCTACACTGACTACATTTTTCTTCATTCAGTCTTGTCCTCCACTTGTAGCACCAGTCTTTCGTATGTTCAAGGTGTTCTTGGATGTTGGACCTAGATTGGATAGGATTCGAGTTTGAGGAAAAACTGCTGTATCCGCCGCGTAGGTGATGATGGTATTAGGTTGTGTTGGTAGGTCGGCAGTATTGATGATATAACATAAATAATAATAATAATAATAATATAAGCGTAATTAGAAGTCGTTTTGACATACTCAGAGATCGATTATGACTAAGAAAAACGAAACTTACATTTTTATTTAGTTAAGGTTCTTAGTTGAGATAAAAAAGTCAATGGCACGAGCGGGATTCAAACCCACGATCTTCGGCTAGATACGCCGCTGCTCTACCACTTGAGCTATCGTGACCTCGATCCACTNAATGAGTAATCCTGTAAACGTAAACAGAATATTTTATATAGATTTTTTTTAATGAAAACTTAAAATCCTGCATTATTTTCCGGACAACCCGATAATATATTAATTGGTCAAGGGGACCACGAAATTAGTGAATTTTTATTTAGTCTTATGAATGACCAGGCTCGGATAGTCCATAAGTAGGCCTTAAAATGATCGGAAATGATCAGTTTGCTGATTCCACACCCTGAGTAAGTCTCACACATTCTTAAAACTATGTATTTTTTTATACTTCTACGGGCTATGTACATATTTTATTGGCCATTGTTGTTCTTTTTCTCTATTAGAACTCCTAAAACATACGTCTTACGGGCATTTATGTATTTATTAGTATACATTTAAGAGTATGCCTAAAATTTAGTCTGCTGGTGTAAGTTTGTAAATTGTTAATTGATGATACTAATTAATTTATTTTCTAAGGGTCTGGATTACAAGAAGGTAGCTGTCGTCGAGGATTTCTACGATATCATCTACGGCGTCCATGTGGAGAAAGGGGCGAAAAATGGATACCACGCCGGACAGAAGAGGACATACCGAGCTGTACGGAGCGTTTTAAATAAATGATAATTAATTTAAATTAATTCACTAGTTCTTTTTCGGTAGGTGACGGAGCGTTACGCGTTCTTGCCCAGGGAGGCGGTGACACGCTTCCTCCTCGGCTGCAGCGATTGTCAGAAGAGAGTCGACCCCGAGTCGACGCCAGTCACGTCTCGACACGGCCAGGACTACCTCCCAATCAATCTGACAACGAGAAACTGTGTTATCACCCTCTCCGTGCCGGATTTCCGACGAGGTCCCGCCGACTCGTGGGAGGGCTGGTCGCCGAGGAAAAAAACACGTTTGGAGGACTCGTCAGGATCGGACATCGGAGTTTCTCCCATTTCTACAGACGAGGAGTTTCCAATTAAGAAGGTAATTTCTTGATTTTTTTTATTTTAATCTAGCTCAAAACTGCCAAGTATTTATCTTTCTCAATATGGAGTCGAAAAGCTTCTGAATCAATTAAAACGCCTAGTACATGCATGATAGGAATACAAAACGCAGATAAGTAGATAACCCATCATTTCCTGAGAATATGTATATTTTCTCTATTTATTATTACATAAATACAACGTTAAATAAAGCAGCTCGCGTACAGTTTTAACAAACTCAAAAATAGCATGTAAAGAATGAACCATAGCCGATGGTTCAGCAACATGATATTCCTTGGTGTTCGGTAAGTTAAGGTTCGAAACTGTAAATATATATATATATTTTACGCAGGGCGGGCGACCAAGACCCCGAGGGGTTAAATGCCTGGGTAGACTCGTACCCCATCCCTAAAAGGTCCGGGACTTGGTCGGCTCACGTGTCCTGCCTAAACCTCTTGGACTTGTTCACAACCTCCAAGATTTTGGACCATTTTATCTCGGGGAGTGATTTGGTAATGTCCTCTCCTTCAAATGTTTCAAATTTATACCTGGCGTACCTATCACACTCTGCGAGGTAGTGCCAAGCCGTTTCTTCTTTTATTTCACAAAAACGGCAGAAGGGGTCTGGTAAAAAAATCATTACGAAGAGGTGTCTTCTCACAGGGCAATGGCCCGTCAGGATTCCTATCAGCCTCCTAATTTCCTTCCTTGAGTTAGAGAATAGCCATTTCGATTCTGTTGGTTTGATCTCATTCACAAACTCCTTCGATTGCCTATGTCCGGGGGACTGATTCTATTCTTTAAAGAATTGTTTCATGCCCCAGCTTGATACTTTCTTTCACTGTGCTTATAGAGTGGGGTAATACCGGTTGTCGAAACTGTAAATGTAGATACGGTTTGCATTGAAGGAGTAAAACGCGCGTGAAAGAACCATAAACAAGCGAGAATAATGAATCATCGATTCATCCTCTCACAGACCAAACATTATCGCCCCGTAACTAACGTGCAGTTATAGGGATGTCTTGACGTAATCGTGACCTAGTGGCTAAATGCTGGCTGAATAACAGTATCCCTCAGCCTGGTTTAGACGAACTGGAGGACATGGTGCTCACTGGGCGAAACATGATTTGATGCCAATTGATATGAGTAGTGTATTGGTACGTGTCTGCGATATCTGAAGAGGCGATAGTCTAGCAGGGTATTCGTCGCGTGCCAAGTATTCTTTTTAGCAAAAGGAATCTCAAGTTGAGATGAAGTGAGGATGATATTCATTAAGTCGATTGTTGAGGCACACTCGGAGGTACGCACTTTGGTCCCGGGACTATCGAACACCAGGGCCAACTCGAAACGGTGGCAGCAAAATTCGACATTACGATAACATTTCTTTGCTATGTCCGTCAGACCTCTTTACGTAGTACTCGCATTCATATATCCATAGGCTGGCAGAGTCTTGATTATTTCTTAGGTAATCTTGCGTTTGTTGTTGAGTGAGTTGTTATTCGAGTTTCAGTCCGAGGTATCGTACATCGTTCTTTAGGCTCATCGAACACTAGGCCCAATGTCCAAACGGTGGGCATGTCGTACTGACATATTTTACATGACTGACGTCGCAGTCAAAGTCATCATATCATAATCTTTGATTATTCCGTCGAGTTCATCTCTTTTCGGCAGAACTCTGTAGCCATTGTCCCGTGACCATCGTTATTTAAGTCTTTCAGTCTCCGACGGGGTTTGGCGAGTAACGTTACATGATAATGTGTGGACTGAGGGATTGGGGTAGTCTGATAATTTGGCGTATACCTTTGTAACCAAATAACAAGAGTCTGTTAAGGTGGCAGAACCATACAGTGTATGTCTATTTGTTCATAAAAGAGCTAGCAGGTTGCATTCGGTTCTAGTATGAGGGTTCCATATAAGAGAAATAAACCCGAACCTTAATAAATAAAAACAGAAATCAATTACTAACGACAAGAAAAGAAAACGCTCTAACGAAGTAGGCTAAACGCGTCTGACAAGCCACAAACAACGAGACCAAACAGACCAGAATGATCGACGAAAATACAAAATTATCTCTGAGCTCAAAAACTTTATGACGACGGTAAAAGTGCTTCAATTTTATTTCAACATTTTATCGCCAGGTTTCGGGTAGAAATTATGGATTTAGTCGTACGGACGGGACCAAACCGTGCACCTTGGCGTGTCGAGCCTGCACATCAACTCATCATAATAACATAAAAAACACCTACTCCATTAAAAACATTAATTTACACTAGGTAGTATAATCAAAGAAATAAATACCAAATTTCATCTAAGTTCGAGATTTTATTAGTACGTACCACACCAAAGATGTCCTTTTTTTACCTTTCCGAGTCTTCTGGATGTAATCCGAATCTAAATATATCAAAATAAATGGTTATTTTAAACTTGTTTAAAATACACCATTTCAAAAGTGTGGGAAGGGATTTGTACAAAAAATACTTTATTATCTTTTTAATATCAGGGTTTTCCGCATAAACAGATTTGAGATATCAGGTGGAACCTAATTATTAGAAGTGACGCCCACTCGATGCCATTAAACTATTAAATAAGTACGTTACATTAATTAAATTAACACATAAATGGACATAGTTGAAAAAATAATCTTAAAGTAATAAATATGTTTGTGTAGAGGTGGTGGTTCCTGGGATTTTTAGATGGCAGCGTGGACTTAGTTAAGGATCTTAGTTTGTAGGTAAATGTATCGATGTATGGTCAACAACCAGAGGTCAAAATCTTGCCATAAAGATACAATATTGTACAGTTAAAATACAAAGGACTTCTATGCGTAATCTGTAGTACTTTTGTATTGTTTAGAAGAATTTGTATGAAAAGTTGCAGCTTACGAAGCCAAAATGGTCTGACACATTATTAACCTTTACTTATTTTGGTACTTTGGTATACTTATTATGTTCAGCCTTGGTTAACTTTGAATTGCCAACCAATAATGAAGCAATTGTAAAAAGTAAGATCTTGGAGATATTATACTGCATAATTCAACGCACTCTGTCCCAAACTGCTACCAAAAGATATGATTATAATAGATGTGCTTTTGTATTTATGGCAGTTTCAGTGGATCTTCAGGTTGCTGTAATAAAACAGAACGAAGCTATCAATACTGTCATTGATGACAGGAGTATCCAGTCCTGACAGCGGTATGAAAACCTGCACTTTCAAGTCAATTCCATCATTGATGTTCTGTTCTATCAATGATCCAATATTCACTGCCTTAGAACATACTTGAGTTTAACTCCCAACTTTCTTAGTTTAGCTGTGGAACAGACCAGTGATGATATTCGACGAGTGACCTTTTAGCAGTTTGACTAAAAGACACGATATTCTTTATTAATATCTTTTCGCATTGAATTTAGGTCATCTATCGTATTACATAATTGCGGCTTGATGCATGATATATGCCACAGGCTCTGACTACATGGACCATGTACTTCTTACCCTGTATCTTTTTTCTCGAACTTGTTTAATTTGGTCATGCATTTAAGAACCATCTTCAAACTGATGTTGTTCTATCAGTGCTATCCTGCTATGCATCATACATGTTGACAAAAACGTTTGAATATTTGATTTTAGCAAGACATACTTCTTATTCTGCCTTTTTTTGCGTTACTCTGTTGATTAACAGTAACAAAATTTTTGGGCGGATGAAGTTCCATCGGTGCTTTGCTGCTAGGCTGTTATACATGACGATAACATGTAGCCATAGTTTGATCATTTCATTTTAGAACTAAATACTTGCTAACACCCTCTACCTTTTGACCTAATCTGTTTAGTTTGGTCATGCAGTTCAAAACTATGTACGAGCTTACCATGGTCAATCAGTGCTTTGCTGTTGGCTCTCAGGCATGATGATGACTAACCCTTAGTGCCAGGCCATTAATTTTTGTATCATACACCTTACCTTGTACTTTCTTGCGTTACCCTGTGGACTAAGAACCATCTTCGAATTGAAGACGTTCTATCAATGGTGTGCTGCTAAGCTATCAGACATGACAAACACATAGGGTCTCACCGTTTGATTTTCGTATTACACGCTTCTTACCCTGTACGTTCTTGATTACCGTATTGATAAAGGATCATATTCGAGCTGATGATTATAAATCACTGCTCTGCTGCTAAGCTAACAGACATGACAACTGTCTTTGTTTTAGCTCCTTATTAGATTGAACAGAAGCCATCTTTCTTGAATGTGATAGCTGTACCTGGAAGTTTCCTCTCATTTTGGTACCTAAGAGAATACATGTACTTTGTTTAATCTATCATATTATACCTTGTAGCTGATATTGTTAGTTTTGGTTATTCCTTCCCTCTGAAGTCCATTTAAGTTTACCAATGGATTCTTCTTCAAATTTAGCTCCGATTAACGTAAACCATCGCTGTAGCTGATACTAATAGATGTACTATTGCCATGTCTTCAGCGTTTTTTGGGACGCCAGCACGGAAAAATCATCCACTATAGAAGGAGTACAATAAAGGAACTAATAATCAACCTTATAGTACAACCGATAACGTAGTAAAGGCAACAACCACCTCTCTATAACAGTCAACTTTTGTTTTTCTTGTAAAGATAGCATCAGCTGCTTGTAGGATGTCATGTACACTAATTTGTCGCATAGGGTTTGTGTTAGTAGGAAGAACCATTTCAAAACAAACTGTATAAACGTAAGACAGCAAAATAATTATTCTGTTCGATAAAAAATAAGATATTCATGTCGACAACCTGTTGATTGTTGTAGAATTTAGACACCACTTTTCACTTTTTATTATAAATTATCCCTTTGTATTTCTCTGGTTGTATTTTAACAAGACCAAAATAGACTGAATGGTATTAGAGGTTTGTTTTGAAAGTCAGTGGGCGTGTTTAAGGATGATGATTTTCAGAAGTTTATCTTTGGGTCTTTGCGTACAGTTTAAATGTAGGGTATTTTACAATGTAGACCTTTTAAATTC